GGGGGGGGGGACTCGCAGAAAGTACAGGGATAGAATAGGACACGCGAAAAAAGCTGCGGGCGGGTAAAGGTGAGTCGTTATCGTCAGTACATCGTCTCTCTCTCTCTCTCTTTCCTTCTCGCTCTCTCGCTCTTTTTCTCTTTCTCTCTCTCTATCTCGATACATTTTCGAGTGCGGTTACGTGATACTACACCGTGCCCACCGAGTCGAGTGGTAAATGGGCTTGAGGAGGGTCACACGCGGCGCGCGGGGCCGTAGGAAATGGGAGAATAGGGATGAAAATAGTATAGGACGAGGGGACGTGGGTATCGGACGGGGAAGAGGCGATGTGCTCTCCTAGTGGCGCGGAGAAAAGCCGCGCGGTAATCGACGGCAAGTGAATTGGAACAAATGCAGACAGACGTGAGGTGGGCGGCCGCTGGACTTGCTTGATATCGCAACGGCAAGAAATATAGCATAAACCGTAGTATTAATCGAGTCCGTCCGGCCGTCCCTGCCGCCCTGAGACCGCGACGTTCCCTACTTTGTCCGGGCTCGAGACGAATCGATGAAACGCTCGTGGGAATCGAAGAGCGGCGGGCGGGATGAGACGAGAAGGCGATATGGACAGAGGGATGTCGGACGGCAAGCGTATGTGTGGCGAGCTTTCGTCCAGTAAAAGCGTGTGTCTCAACTCGTCTCTCCGTTTATTCCTCGGAATCCCGAAATTATTCGTTATATCGCCCTTGAAAGTTCGCGGGATGTGTTTATGTTCGCCACAATACGCGACAATAATGACACAATAGCCAAATGTACAAGGGAAGTTCGAGCTAACGATGTTTCGGCCGTATAATGTGGGCGCCTGTGCGAGTTATTGTTCATGGGGGCGTCATTTACTTTTCAAAGTACTCGACCATTATATTAGAAGGGAGTAGTGCGCTCGTTCGCGCGCGCGTGCGGCAATCTTGATTTTGGTCTTCGAACGTAATATCCGGCAGTGCTTGTAGACGACGCGAGGAAGTAAAACTAATTTCGTAAATCCTTTAATCTACGCGTGGAAAGCCGTGGCGAGATTAAGGGGAAGCGGACTGAATGGGCGGGCTCCTGGGTGTTTGATGGAATATGATGAACGAGGTACGTAAAACTTGGTTATTGGTATACCGGATCAAATAGAGCAAAAAAAAAGAGGCAACTTCAGTCGGACGCGCCGCAATTAAAGTAGTTGCGAAAGTCACGCCACGTAGTCGGACTGATAACGAGACAGTCGGGAATGTTTCTCAACCCCTTGCTGTCGTAAAGCCGACCATGTAACGTCCGTCTGATAATGAAATTATTTCAATGCGAATCCTGAAAGACATACTTCTTCGCAAACTTATTTGATACGAAGGGAATCGAGATCAAAACTTACTGCCGTATTGTTGCGCCAAGATGGAGGCGAGCACTTGGCCGGGACTGCGCGCACCTCTTGTAGCGGACGAACTCGACACTGGCCCTATTGCGTGATGCGCGTTTTCCTCGTCGTCGCTGCTAGATTGAGCACTAGTTCCGTAACCGCGCCGTTCTCTCCATTCCAGGGACCGCTGACGGCGCAGCCCACGGCCCCCGTTTGCATGACCGCGACCCAAAGTGCCCTCGCTGTCCATCACTGCGGCATCTGCAACAAGTGATAATGTTTAACGCATATTTTAAAACCAAATCAGTAGGAACAATCAGAACCCAACCAAGTTGAGCGGACTCAATCTCTGGGTTGTGCATTTGACGTTCTTGCAATTCTTTATTTGTATTCTTTATTTGTATTCTTATTGTATTCTTTATTTGTATCAGACGAGCTATGTATTCAGCAAATTGATTAATCGTGATTTGACATTGATTTGACTATCTTGATAAGTAACTATAACCAAATGAGTTGTCAAATCGTAGTAATGGATAAGAAGTTTAACTCAACTTTTCTCCCGAGTTGAGTGAACTATACTCTCAGAGTGAATCAGTGAATAGTCATTGATATCAGTTAAGAGTACAGCATTGAGCACTTTCAGTGCTATACTTATAACTGCAATCAGTGTATATTCACTGTTTTTAGTGATGTTTGACTGATTTATTTTAAGAGAGCTACTATCAAAGAGAATAATGTAATATTTCATTAAGTTTTTTCTCTAGGTGATATGTACTGTGATAAACTGTTAATTTAAACAGCGTCTACACTATATTATCTATTGGGAGTACAAATTAGTTCGGTCCGTTTTTTTTGTGGTCAAAAATGCATTTATTTCAGAACAAAATGAATGAACAGATTAATCAAAGTATTGTCCATCGCTGGCTACTACTTTTTCCCACCTCTCAGGCAATTTTCGAATTCCATCTCGAAAAAAATGTCTCGTATTTTGAGGGGATCCAAGTTAGGAGCCAATTTTCGATTTCTGCGAAAGAAGTGAATCGGTGACCTGCCAAATCGTGCTGCATCCGTCGGAACAACCAGTAATCGGAAGGAGCAATGTCCAGCGAATACGGCGGGTGCGGTAAAATATCCCACTTGAGCGTTTCCAAATAATTTTTTACGACTTTTGCGACATGAGGCTGAGCGTTATCATGCAGAAGAATAACTTTGTCATGTCTTTGCTCGTATTCCAGCCGTTTTTCTCGTAATGCACGGCTCAAACGAATCAATTGTTGCGTAACAATGATTCTGCAAGCTCCTCTTGCGTTTGACTCGGATCTTCATCGAGTAATGCCTCCAATTCTTTGTCTTCGAATTTTTTTGGCTGTTCAGAGCGAGGCTTGTCTTCAACGCTGAAATCACCATTCTTGAAACGTCGAAACCATTCCCTACATGATTTATCAGTTGGAGCATTGTCACCATAAACTTCTACAAGCATTCGATGCGCTTCAGCTGCACTTTTCTTCCAATTAAAGCAGAAAACTAAAACCTCCCGCAAATGCTGCTTAGTTAACACAAAATTTGATATATTCAACACAGTAAAAAACAGGGGTTTTGTATGAAACTCAAAGCGATATAAACTGAATATTATTGACAGATGTCTAACCTCTCTGAAACCACCGAAATCACTATGAAACATTCATAACAGCCAGAGCCGTTTTTTGAAAACGGACCGAACTAATTTGTACTCCCAATAACAAAAATTAACGACTTCAACTTAACAATAAAGAAATAATAACTGACAACTAAAGGTGCCAGGAAATATCGGAAAAGGTTAGCCTGTACGGTCAGATCCCAGACACTATAGGCGGTCGCACATCATATGAAACTTCAAGTGGTGAAACTTGCTCACTTATATATCGCCGCGAAGAGAATTTATTTGCGAGTGAGCGACATAGACAGCGCAATTTATCGGTAGCTAAGCCGTGTATACGAACTCTACGTACTGTAACTTATTCTATAATCTTGTGGGAACTGTTGCGATTATTTCTTCCAGTTGAACAAAACGCGCAAACGTTCAATTATCAAAGTCATTAGTTCAATGTAATTATTGTTTAACTTAGTTAAACTTTCATCTAAAGGTAGCATTACTCATATTACGCAATTAGATCAACCTTTCTTGAAAGGTAGTTAGTTGAAAGAACATTATAGCGTGCACATAACTATTGTACATTTCAGTTTCTATAAATGTTTTATCTTCGACTAAACTTTTTAGTTGAAATTTCTGCATCAGACTGTTAAATAGAAATAATTTTTATCCAATTTAACTCTCAATTGTGCAGTTGATTCAAACAAATTTGTTCAATTCAGAGACTTGATTCGTTTTACCCAATCTTTTTTTTCAGTACATCGTTGTCGTTAAGTTTGTCAAGATTGTAGGATGTGTAGGATTTAAATTAATACGTAAGAGATACTTTGAGAATAGACTCAGCATGTGAAAATAATAGTTAATAATAGTAAAATAAAAGTTAACAATAAAACCCATGCGTTATTCTGATTTCCTGGAGAGAGAAACATTGACGGTATAAACAGTCAAAACAGTCAAACAGTGAAATAAATTACAGTATCTTAACTTTTAAGAAGAATTACTGAAACGCGAAACTCAGAAACTCAGATCAAAGTGAATGCAAATTTGTAGGAACTGACTTTATTGTTTTCAAATGCTAATGCACTCCCCGAAGTGTTCCTCGGGATATCAACTTACACCCTTTATTTGCTCACATAAAAAATCTCTCTCCTGCAACTTGACAGACACCCGAAAAATTGCCGGCATAAATCCCAAAACTGATCCCGCAGTCGGACTGCTCGAGAATGCAAGGCAAACGTACTATATTCTATACGAGCTTTTAATATGTCTCCTTGCGCGCTAAGGGATCTTTGGATTTATACGAAAATACCAAATGACGAATCAAGTGCAACACGAAAGTCGTCGCGCGGAATAACAATGATGCCATTACGCGAGGCGCCGATAGTACGTCAACGTCGAATAACAGTAGCTTATTAGGCATTCAGAGCCATTGCTCGGAATCATTCAGAACCGAATGAAATCGAATTGTATACTCGACATTTGCTGATATTCAATGCAGATATTCAGTGCAGATTCCGGCTTGGACGCTGACACGCTTGTTTACGTCTGGGCCACCGGGCGCATTAATAAGCACATATATAAAGAAGATAATGGATGTTTTTGAATCTGATGTCTGGCGACGAAACATTAGAAAATAAATCTTTGCTTTTGACTACTTTACTTTAGTCAGAGCAAAAACGATATTTTATTTTTATAAAAATTTCATATTTTAACCCTTTCACTATCACAATTATTTTCTTTTTAGCTGATTTTTATGATGCTTTGTATTCCTACGTTTCTTGGGGGCTAATTAATAGCAAGTCAGATTTTAAAAATTTAATATGGCAGATCCAATATAGACAGCACTTATTATTATTATAATATTATTATTTATTATTTCTCTTTATATTTTACATATTTTATATATGATTTATTTATTCTTTTTATAAGAGAAAACCAAGAAACTTTATCTCAAAGCAAAAGTTGTAATTCTATGTAGTAAGTAAACAAAATTTTTTGTTTTATTTCAATATTTTTGATTGAAATGCTAAACTTACTAGGATTCAGAATGCATTTTGAATAAATTTGATGCTTAGAATGAACTTATATAAACTAGTGAAATATTTGAAAAAGGTAACATTTATTTGAATACGGTACATATTTGTCTGTATCTACAAAACTGAAAATCGTGTAATTGTTGGTCTAGGGAAATTATTGGTCACGGTATATGTAATGCAATATCACACGTAATTTTTATTTTATCGTTACTTAAATGGCTGTCCAAGCAATTCTAATTCGACCTGAAACAGAACTTTCTCTTCGATCCTGTCTCCCGAATAGACACGTCTATAGATCGATAAGATACTGTGTATAGCAGTGGATAATTGAGTGGTGGATGCCTCTCGAAATTCCCACGGAGACGTCCTCACCCGCCGTTGCTCTCCCTTGATTGCAGGGACCGTTGATTGATGCTCCGAGGGAGAACCGAATAGTGATGTCTTAAGATCACTCACTGTTCCTTGGACTATGAAATTTCAGTTTGGGAACGGTATCACGGATGGAATGGCCGTGTTACGTTTCCGTTCACGCCTTCGTTGCCAAGCGTCGAAGAACGGAATTAACGTTATCCCATGATCGTCATCGTCGGCACGCGAGGATAAGCGCGTAAGGTTGATCGTGTTTGCGCGATTAATAATATTTAATAATCATCCTCTAGATATAAATACGTGATATAAATACGAATCTAATAAAAACAATCTCACTGAAAAACGATTCCGTTTCAATGAAAGAAAATAAATACGATCGTTTACTGACGGCGAGGTCCGATAGGATTGGTCAGGGAATTTGCTCGGCAAATATATGAAAATTGAATGAGATGGAAGTAAATTAAATTTTGTGTCCGCAGCAAACAAAATACGCTAGATTGAGTTTGTAAAGGTACAATTACGATTGTAATACATACGTCGCAAATTTATAATTCGCGCTCAATAAACATCGTCCGATCACGTTTTCATAAAAATGGTTCGCGAATAGAAAAAAAAGGATTTGTTGCAGAATCACGAGCTTTGTTCTGCTGTAATTCGAAATGGCGGGGGCAGAGGGGAAGAGGGCTAAACGCGACGGTTCGCGGCCACGGGCGTATTGGCGCGAACAGCTGAAAATTCGCGACCGTGAAATTTATGGAGAAACGTTCCGACGTGTTAATAAATCCCGAAATCTCTCACGTGGCGAGGTCGGGCGCGGAACAAGCCGCGCTCTGAAAACGCGCCCTCATGCATTGCCAGGCATCTCTCACAGCCACTTTTCTCACTTGGCTCAATAGCGACTAACAGGTCGCATCCTCTACACACGAGGGCACTTTACGATGTTTTGTTTCGTCGGCTCTCCACGTCCTCCTTCGTTCGTGTAAGTGCGTCGAGAATGTGGGCGACTTGTCAAACCGTAAGTGAATCGGAAACCTTCCGCGATGCGTCGGGTTAACGAACAACTCGACGCAAACACAGCCGAGTGGCTCTCCCCGAGCCAAAGCGAAAGGGTCGTGAAGAATACCCTCCTTTCAATCTTCATGATTTTACATTATTAATCGACATGACGTCGACTTTTAACCGAGTAGCACCGAGCCGATTGCAATGACACGTGAAGTGATACTTTA